CTCACATCATAAAGCATCTGTGTGAGGACTCCAAAAGTTTTAAAGCATCTGAAGAAGTAATCCAAGGTTTTGAGATGCTATTGGAGATGTTTCCATTGCTAGATTTCATTGACTCCCATACAGCCTGCAGTTGTATAGAACTTCTACTCAACGAACTAGTGAAACTAGATTTTGTCACTGAAAATCAATGCAGTTCAATAATTGCTAGAAGGTATTCTGTTTTTTTTTTTTTTTTGAATTTTATTAATTTTATGAATCAATTTTACAATTAATCATCTTTATTACTAAGAGCCAGTGTAGTTTCAACACTTAGCAGCCCAAATCCCCCTTCAAACGTTTTGACTATTATTATGAGAACTGAACCTACTTTACAAAGAGTGCTTAGGACTTTAGATTCTGACTACTCTAAGATTCAAGTAAGATATTATTTGTTACCATTGATTTATTCCTTAGCACTTATGATTTTTGTTTATTTTTAGGAGGCTTTAGTTAGTGTACTCAGTCAAGTGCTCTCTGGTAACAGTTTAGAGCTAATTCTGGCAGCAGCATCAGTTGAGGGTAAACTGCGCATGTTTGTCTCTAAAGTGATAAAATTTAATGAATTCAGTAAGCAAATTAATTTACAAGATGGTGCTAAGTCTGTACGCACTAATGCAGTATTGTTTGACATGACATTCTTGATGCTCTGTTTTATAACTCAAAAATATGGATATCAAGTAAATCTTATTGCCCTATATAATTGGAAAAATTATAAATAAACTTTTATTTTTAATAGTCAATTTTCTTTGATGGTGGTAACGATACATTTTTTGAGAAATGGTGCCGGCAGTGTATGGTTGAACTCGGAAATCCCAAATCCCATGAAACTATAATGGGTGAATGTGACCCAAGTAAAGTAGAAGCTCTGTTAACTGCTATTGATAATGGAGAAGATTTAATTAATTGGTTTGTATTAAATTTCCAAATTATATTTAATTATATTTAATTGGAAAATATCTTTAGTGATACAAGTTGGGACCAAATTTGCATATCTATAATTGGCGCCACACACGATGTTCTAGTTGCTTGGGAAAATTCTACATTAAGTAGTAATGATGTTAAGCGTATTTTAGATTCAATGCGCTCATCAATGTTTTGTTTACCTATTTGTGCAGCAGCATGGCTCTGTTCTTACATGCAGGTATGTATTTTACATTATATACTTATTACAAAATGTTATCGTAAAAGAACTAAATTATTTAGGTATTGCATCAAGACGCTTTGCTCAAGCCATTAAATATGGTTCAACAGTTATTAAATGTTCTTCCTGAGACTGAAGAAAGTCAAGATAACTACTCTAAATGGTAAAAATAAAAGATATTAAAATATCCATGTTTTTCTCCTACAAATCTGTAATTTTTAGTCGTCAAGTATTGATGTGTCAAATTATACGTAAAATGCAGCAAGATTTGAATCCACCGACTATGCCATCCAAACCTTCTCACAGGTAACATATGTTTTTTTCATGTTAATAACATTTAATTTTTTTATTTAATGTTTGTAGTATTATTTCAAAAGACTCAATTCTTGAACAACTTATACCCATTTGGGAGAGTATTCTGGAAGAAGGTTGGTTAAATGTGAAAAATGCTCATAAATTAAAAACAACATTATTTACTGCTGGATCAGATTGGTTTGTCAACAACTTAATTAAGGTAAATATTATTTATAGTAGAAATTATAAATTCRTATAATTTTATACAAATGACTAATGAATTTTCTGCAGGAAATGATGAAGTTACAGTATCGCGATGAATTAGAAAAAGCTGTTGACTTATTGTTTGCAATATTTCATTTTGATATTGAGTTCTGTACGCTTGCATTACTAGAACTGATGCCTCAGTACTTATTTAATCCAGATATGTAAGTTGTGTATTATAGAAAAGTTAAAAAGTCATTTTAAATGTAATTCTTACAGAAATGTAGAGCTAATTGAGCCTCAACAGACTGCACTGGCTAAATTGTGTTCATATTGTATTTATGCATCGGTCGAATTGCAACAAAACAGTATAGTTAAAAATGATATTCTCAARACAACAAACATGGACATTGTAAGAATAGTGCATATTAAATAAATCAGTATTTTCTTTAATTTACTTATTTCTAGGACATTGACAATTCATGGCCACCAAATAAAATAATGCGCTTAGATAATGGAGATTGTGATTCTAGTGGTACTGGAATAAATGGAATATTATTAAAAGCACTTGTGGCTCTTTTTCGACGTATTGCTGTTGTTGCTTCAAGACATGAACAATTGTGCCGAGAAACTCACTTTGTGTTGAGGTTACTTGAACAACTTGTTATGTGTGGACGAGGATCATCACAGATTATTCTTAGACATTTGCCACCAACTCTGGTACGGAATTGTGAATATTTTAATAATGTCTTATATTCTAACTGTAACATGTACATTATGTTTCTAGTTGCCAAACTTAATACGTTGCGTACCAGAATTGTTTACTGTGGATTTGATTTTAAACTTATATGACTTGAATTGGCCATCTGGCCGTAAAGCTGCCACTAGYGATTTGTGTTTATTGCAAAAAACTCGCTGTGCTAAAACTACAGAGTAATACTTAATCCATATAGCCATATAATACATTTAACTTAATTGTAATTTAATTTCAGGTATTTGTAAATAATTGATAAATTTAAACAAAAGGACGTTGGAAAATGTTATGAAAAAAAATTGCTTGTTTAGCCGACTTAAAGAAAAAAGAAAAATGATTACCAACATTCCATTTGTTTTTATTGTATCTGAATCACAGCAAATTCATCTRCTGTATTATTCATTTTTCTTAACTACTTATGAGCTACTGAGTCAATTAAAAAAAAAAGAAAATGTTTTTTATTTTAATTGGCATTAAGTACTTAATTAATTTATGTATTTTGTATAACTTTTCATATTATGTGTTTGATMATGGATAATATTATGTTAAGTTAAACATATTTTTTTTATTTACTTGCCGTTCAGAAATATTCAAATAGATTTTGCATTTGATTTAATATCATACACCATTGTCATTTGAAAAATATAATATTAATAATTATAACATATCAAATAATCAGATTGGTTTCCTAATAAGTTATGCACTTTTCTTGTACAATATACAAAGATTTTTTTTAAATTAAAATTAAACTCTGGGAATTATGTTTTTMTTTGCACTTACAGGACTTAATATACAAAAGAATAAAAAAAGACTTAAATAATCAACAAGACACAAATCTTTTCTTATAATAATAAGTCATTGGTCAATGRAATGTGAATTATATATAATTCTCATTGTATATGTRAGATGTGCTTTTACGAGAGTTGCTATATACAAATGGATTTGATATCCAACTTTAATATTATGGTGATACTAATAATTTTTTTAKTTARCATAATATTTCATCATATTTTCACATTACTCGTAATGGATATTGTRTATACCATGCACTAAAGCTGAGATGTCTGTGGACTATAGTTAATGATTATTTTGGTTTTAGAAGAGAAATTTGTGTATTTTCATCAATCAATCTATGGGACGATTACATTTAATTACTGTSTATAAACGTATATTGTATCATTATCATTATTAATAATATTTTGTGTTGTAATTAAATTACAATTTACAATTATGTTACAACTTTATAACTTAAAGTTGRAGTTCCTATAATATAACGTTTTTAACCCTAACCCCTCCCCCCACCTATATATTTTATATATATTATTCTATGCTCTAGGGATAATGCTTCATTCTAATAAATTACCAATAAATGTTGTAATTCAACAAGACATACAGGGTTCTTTAGTTCTTATAATAACAACATAGGTATTATTTTGTGTGTTTTTAACATKTGTAATGCAATTACTGAACAGTGTTTTTCAGTTACAACTACTGATTTTTACAGTAGACACGACATTTTTACGGAATGACCATATCTTTGTGCTAAGTTTCTTCATTTTTAGTTAAATTTTATGGATTTGAGAGCAGTTCATCAATATTGGATGGTGGTGTGTACTATTATTGATTTTTTTTTATGTGAAGAAATTACTGAACTGTGTTATTACTGTTATGACCAATACTCGAATTTGGGGGGAAGGAGATCCTCTATTTTTTTTACTGGACGGGGGGATATCAGTACAACACTAACATCAAACTAATGACCAAAATAATTTTTATTAAATAGGGATTTAAATTTACATCAGTTATGTAAAGAACTTTACGATTTTTAATATCAAAATTATTTTTACTATTGCTTTACAAATTTCTATGGTCTTGCATTTTTTTTTTTTTATGATTTTCTTTACTACTGTTTTTTCTCAAAATTATGTAGAGCATTTTTGGAAATATTGATACTGATTCTAACATTAATTAATTATTATAAAAAGTTAGATTATAGAATTATTTTTAATTTTATGAAAGTATGAACGATAACAACAAAGTTGATTACTTTATAGGAAGGGAGAATCAATGATCAATGTACCTTAGATTATATAAGACTAAATTTTTGGGTTAGGGCAAGAGGCCCCATTTTATATTTTACTATAACCTTTAAGTTTCTAGTTGTACCACTACCACTATTAATAATTAATAATTATGAATAACATAGCTACATATTGCTTTGTTCGATTTGTTGATTTGAGTTACAATACATTTGATTTCATCTTTTTAATCAGTCCTAATTTTTTGACAAGGATTTATCTAAGTTTATTAAGTGATTTCAAAATAAAATTTTTGTTTGAGACACAAACATTCAATCAATAAATATGATAAGTAGGGTCTAAGGGACATAACTTATATACCATAATATTATCAACAATCTTAATAAGAGATACAATTAATAATATGCAKCTGATGATATTTATTTAACAAATTAAAAACACTGGCAATAGATTATTTGAATATTTAAAAATACAAATAGAATAAATAGTTAAATGGTTTATATTTTTATAATAATTTTTATTAATGAACAAAACTCACCTCAAACATTTAAATATACATAATACAATTTGATTCAAGGGCAAGAACTATAATAAGCTTTAATACRTTTCAGTTATATAAGATATTATCACTTATTTCTTTTTCTTAGAATACAAATATATTAATAAATGCATTAACATAATAAGAGAACACGTCTTGAATCATAAATTTAATAATATCTCCATAAATWTAGGATAACTATCATCACTACAAATTTATTCAATCAGAGTTTTGTGTATTAATATCTAGTAATTTAATAGTTCACTAAGTAAGAGATATTGTCAAAACTAAAGATAAAAATGATATAATATAATGAGGAATAAAATATTTTATGCGYTTGCAGTTTGCACATTAGTGGTAATAATATTATTGGTTTATGGTTTGTAAAGCCCAATGAAAGCATTACAATTTGGACATGAATGTTTAGTATTCTTGAAGTTATCCATGCAAAATGGCAAACAAGAACAAACGAAACACCTGAAAAAAAAAATGTACATTACTTAATTACATACCTATCTTATCTTAGTTACTATTATTGATACCTAATCAATTATACAAGTTAATTTATATAATTCACAATTGAACATACTTATGAGCATGAGTTAATGCAATTATAAAATGTAAGCAACAGAAACAAATATCGTATAATTTTATTACTCTATTCCACGAGAAAAACATTTAGATAGTTGCTTATTTTATATCGCCTTCATGCAACTTATTAGGAATATGAATGATCTGACCAATTTTTGTTATGGAAATGCATTTTCTCTCGTGGAACAAGAATATAATATAATCTAATTAATAATAACTTATGTGCATTTAATTTCCATGATTATCAAATTTCATAATATAGTTATTCATATTTTTTTCACATACCCAATAATAAACAACAACATGCAGCATACATAAGCAGTAGTTGATGACTCTTCTTCAATGTTTGTCGTCACTACTAATTTACATGTAGGACATGTCAACCGTACTGATCTTGGACCCAATGGTGGTACTAAAATATTTAAATAACATGAATAGAAAATAGCATTRTACATTATAGCTATTGTTACTCTCATAACCTTTCCTTTCTCTTTAACTTTTCAGATATTCATTAATTCCCCCTATTTTTTGACTTTTTAATCTTAAGGYGCTTTCTCTTATTCACCATAAAAATAATTGTTATGTTTCTCTCTGTYCAACCAAACCAATAATAATATATTAAAACCAATGAACCAATTGAGGGAATAATACAATTAAGACACCTCTTTTTTYAATATTTAAATCCTAAGTTAACTTTAATAGTTAATACTTGTTGTCCTAATATTATTATCATAAGTGTGTATGTATTATGTTTACTTGGGCAGAGCCTATTTTATATATATATAAAAGTTCTCATTCCCAAGTCTAATAAATAGCTAAAGATAGAATCAAACAAATAGTTAGAAATAGATAGAATGAGAAAATGGAGCAGAATTTCTAATGAAGTAAATTTGAACTCTGAAACTGATTCCATTAATACAGAAGGAGAATCAAATATCAATGGAGTTTGAAATGAACTAGAAAATAAATACACAACTGGGTATGATAGGCCTAATTAGCAATCAATAATTATATTTGTATCTCTATATTTCGATGGAATGCTATAAAATACAGGTATTCAACGAATCATATAGTTTTAGTTGGGTATTGTAATAGACTAGTATAGGTATAAGGTTCAAGAATCTAAATAGATCACTAACAATTTTGAGCATTCGTTTGGACAATGACTACTCGAGTAGGCTGTGGAGGCCCCATTGTTGATGAATGGCCACCGTTATCGCCCTGATTGTGGAACTCATACTTCGGAGCATTGATCGATTCTGAGTAGGACGGTGGAGCTGATGGCAAATTAAATTCTTTATTCACTTGAGGATACATGGCAACTGGAACAAAACAATACATCAATATATAATTTATCCTAAGTATGTATTTATTGCTGTTGTTAAGAGTATCTCCAAGGAGAAATTTCTCTTCAATGTTAATTAAATATAAATATTTTATGTAATTCTAATCATAACATTGTACCTATATTGTTTTTATTCCAAAAAAAAATAAAAAAATAAATTGTTACAACTTATGGCAATAAATAAAACATGCAATACAATAACAACTGCAATATATTATRATTAATATAGTTTGACGATCGTGGTCGTTGCCTAATAGTTTAACATATTATGTAACAATAATATTAGGAAATAATAAAGCAACGGTGTTGAGCGTGTCTCGACCGAACGAAATAAAATGAAAACTGCTCTATACTAATTTTCCCTAGACGCAAATCGAAAGGCCGGTATCACCTGTTGTTTGTTGCACATGCAACACACGACACTAGAATACTGAAACGTCTACAACTGAATTACTCGTATGTTATGAATTTCGATTAGCGAACATTCAGTACAGACAGTACACACGACACACCGTTCACCAAGTACGCACTATCGATAAACAATAATATTATAGTGAATTAAACGGAATACGACTGGTCCGTTAGGTTCGGTGTGATTGTGTGGACGAGAACGCTTCGTGATTCGTGACTTGTAAGTTGTAAAGTTATATTTAGTTTTTGATATCGTAAGTTATTTAGATTTTAACTCATTCCTTGCGTGTCTACGTGTCATCGTGGCTCGCACTTCGGTTTGAGCGAAATCGAATAACCGATATGAGTATAAAAATATGTATGTGTCATTGTGTCATACGACGTCAAAATGTCAATATACGTACTACATGGCATGACGAATAATATACTTTGTCATACTACAYATGTAGAATAAGATCATAATTCATAATCACTCACTCACTCGAGAGTCAAGACACAGGCACACAGTAGMTCGCCAATAACAACGATGGAAACAATTATGGAACATACGATATATTTTAATATTTATCAGTTATCGGCTGACGTATATTCAACGACATCCGCTCGCTAGAACTCATATTTGTGACTCGACTTAATGACCGAGCTATGTAAGAATATTTAAATATATGTAAATATATGACTCAATTATTACAGAATACGTCGAGTACCTACTATCTGCTCGAGTACTTAAATTGATTCTAATATTTTGCGGGACGGGAGCTGGTTAAGTAATTGCTAGAGAGTAGTGACTAGTCTTAATTTAGTTAAGTAGTTCGTTGATGGAGCGTCGTTAGAAATTAAAGCTGAACTAAACATTACATACGAAAAAAGGTAGAAAACCGGAGAACACTGTTGAATGTTGATAACTATGTTATTATTATTGTTGTTGTTGATTAATTTATTTCCGAAATAAATATCAACGAGGTTCAATCACGATACAAAAAAGATCTCTACATTGAGGATATTTTAATAATGAGTTATTCTGTGATAAACATAATAATAACAATTGCTTATCGAAGTCATATCCATTGACCACGGTTAAATAAGTTAATAGTAGGCAGCAGGCAGCCCCATGCAACTCACGTTATTTAACACGATAATGAAATATGTGCCGTTAATGTCTGGGACCCGGCCAGGTGGCGCGCTCTACTTGTCAAAGTTTGTAATTCATAAAAAAACTATAATGTGGAAACATAGGTATTTTAATTTATTAATTTATTATTATAGTTTAAAATTTCTAAGATGTACAAAATTTGGATAATTTTTTTTTTAGCATTTTCCTTTACATTTTCTTGATTGGATTGCCTTGTATACTGTCTTAACGCATATTAATGTAATATTTTATTGCAAACRATATTACATAATCTTTATGTTCAGTACATGAAAATGTGAAAGAACCATACTGAGTAATCAAACCATCAATAATATCATCAACTGTATTGCAATTACTATTATTTTACAACACTGTTTTTCTATAATTTTTACTATTTCTGATTATAGTATTTATGTACCTACTTAATACTTGAGTTAATAGTATAATCAAATAGTAATTAAATTAGTTTTTTTTCTAATATACCTTCTTAAATAGGTAATTTATTATACTTATATAAATTAAATACTATTTTTAAATAGTATCCTTATATGTATTTAGAATATTTTTACAACAGTTTTATTGATATTTACCCGTTATATAATAATATAGCTATTAGATTTTAATTCTAGATAATTAGGAGAATTTTGTATAAGAGGTAAGGCCATAACTTCATCAACACTATCATCGAGRCTAGAAGGGCTATTGACTAGTAGATGAGTAGCTCCTTCCTTTAAAATTGTCTGCAAGAAGAAATATCATAATTTATTACATGATTTTTCTTAATCATTGTCATAAGTATTTACCCTAGAACTAGAACTACTGTTTTGTAAGTTACTTATAACATAAGTTTTTAAATCTGTTTGGGGAAAATGGGATTGACATACTCTATCACCAATAAATACATTTTTATTTGTTTTTGATGACCAACTTTCAATGCGCTTTTTAGTGACACGAAATGCAGGTACATTCAAAGTAGAACAATTGCAAAATGAACATCTTTATGGGATTGTTACAACTTATAAGTTTAAGATCACAGTTAAAAAAATAATTATAAAGGTATAAAATATTGCACAGCTCGATTAATTGTCTAGAATCTTGATTAATATCAAATACTAGATGATTTGTTAATATCAATAATATCATGAACATATAATAAATAAATATATATAATTAGGTATATACTATACATATAAAATTTATATGCCTAAATAATGATTAATATCCCGGCTAGTTCGTGGACTATTTTTAATAGTTAATATTATATTGSGTCCTCTTAAGTTTTTAGTGTTTTTACCTAATTTGGTTATCTTATCTACATCGTGATAGCACCAATCACAGAATAGCTTATATATATATATGTATGTATTATATATATTATATATATAAAATATATATTCGCCCTGCTCCATATTTTGAATCGCGGAAAAAATGGCCACGGAAAAAAAACCCACGGAAAAAAAACCAAAAAAAAAAACCCAAACTAAAAAATACACCCACGGAAAAAAAGCCCGAAAAAAATATTATACATAATATATTTACATTTATTGATAGATACATATTTTAAATATTATGCATAGTATTTAATTTTTTTTTTATAATAATATATTTTATAATATTATATTATAATTATTATTATGTTACCAGTTTACCACAAGTCCAGAAACGTGAATATTTTGTATTTTTAATATTTTATTCTTATGTTCTGTTACAAATGTATTATTCTATCACAGAAATAAAAATATTATATGATTGTAAATCCATTGTATAATCAACAATCAACCATATTTTATAAAATATTACAATTTACAATGATTGCACTTTTATTTTTTTGGGCTTTTTTTCCGGGGTGTATTTTTTAGTTTGGGTTTTTTTTCCGTGGGTTTTTTTTCCGTGGCCATTTTTTCCGCCTACCCCATATTTTATAATAATTATATATATCAGTTCTATGAACGAGGCATTACAAAAAATAGAGATAACAGATAAGCTAGATAACTGATTTACAATTTTCAAAAATTAATATTGGTTTAATTTTTAATCATAATATATTAATATTATAGTTTTTAATTTTATCTTTATATTTTGATTTRTATGTAATTGTATTTTTCAACACCCCAATCCGCGTATAAATCACTGGCTTTAATTTAATCTCAACTTTTAGTTTTTGTATTCTTAACCAAGTTCATAATGGATCCTCAATTAAATTTTGATCAATTCTGTCTTAAACGAATTTTGATGAACGACACACATCGCAAAATGATAGCTGTTGAAGGAAATTTTAAAGGAAACCAAGAACCCGCTGTTGTTGTYATAGAAAAATATGCTTTTGATGAAGCTTCTGTGTTAAATGTATGCAACGCTCAGACGAAATTCAAAAAAGATTTAGACAATGACATTTATAAATCATTCAGTTGCGTACCACAATATGATGGTAAKAGTTAAAATCCAATCTTATATAATAATTTATTATTTTTTCATGGCAATTGAAATATTTATTTTTTTAACTTATAGAAAACATTTCTTCCAGTAAAATGGACATAATATACCCTGCGACAAACAAACATATTTTAAAATTTTCRAGTCAACCTATGTATTTTGTGAATGAAACTGAAGAAATGTATCAAACTATAACTTTACCTCATATATTGGATAACAGTTTTTCACTACAAGTAAATTTTCTATAAAATTATAAAATTTATTATTAGAAAAAAATTATCTATTTTATATTAATATTCATTCAGTGGCTATACAATTGCTTAGAGTATAAATCAGAAAAAGAAAGAATAGTATATGATACAGCTTCTGAGAATCAAAAAGATGATGAAGATAATGGCTTTTTACTTTTACCAGACTTAAAATGGTCCGGTAAATTGAATGAGTTGTACTTGTTAGCAATTATCAAAAAAAGAAACATTAAATCACTTAGAGATTTAACAAATGATCACTTGCCATTATTAAAAAATATTTTAAACAAAGGATCAGTAAGTATCTAAATTTCTGATTGAAATTATTTGTGTTCCATTCTGATCAAAGTTTTATATTAAACTATTTTTCAGGCAGCTATTTATAAATTATATGGAGTTCAACAATCTCAATTACGTACTTATGTCCACTATCAACCTTCATTCTATCACTTTCATGTTCACTTTACATATTTGATGCATATACCTCCAGGTTAGTAGTTTTTAATGTATACCTTGAAATGTAAATCAATAATTTTTAATTAACAAATTCCATATTAATCTGTTCGATAACATTAACCATAATAGTACCTTTCATCAAATTACATTCCCTACTGTTCTTAAAAACAAAAACATTTAATTTCCTATGTCAATTGCAAAGTCGGGATTGATTTGATAGTTTCATTATTCAAAAAGTATATTAATCTACTATTCAATTTGCTATTATGTAGTRTTCAAAAGTTGTGATGTAACTCGTAAGGTATTTTTCTTTTGTTTCAGCTCATTATAAAAATAGCTTCATTAGTCATTAAAAAACCAACTATTGAAATTAAATGACACAAATTTAAAAAAAAATAAGGGAACTGTAGATTGTAGACTGCATGCTTGCTTCTAATGATTTAAAATGTATACTGTGCAATTTATATTATGCTGTTATCCTAAGTAATAAATACTAAATAATATCTTTTATTGTTTTATATTTATTAATGTAATTTTTATACCTATTTGTTTAATTTAACAGGAATAAATGTTGGAAAAGCTCATTTACTTACAACAGTAATTAATAATATTGAAATGCAAAGCAACTACTATCAAAAAGCCACATTAGATTATGTTATTAAGGAAAGTGATCCTTTGTTTAATCGTTTTGAAGAAAAAGGTAATAATATCAATAAATTACTAAATTTATTGATTTTTAATTTAAATGCCTAATGAATATTTTATGATTAGTAATTTGATAGTTTATCATATTAATGAAACTACACTTTACAGTAAATTGATAATAATTAAATAAAAAAAACTGGTATTTAGAACTAATCACCTGACAAATTTGTAGAATTATGTTTAGGTTGATATATTGTCTATAATATATGAATGTTATTTACATATGCTCCGATTAAAGATAAACCATTTATTCGGCTGGATGATCATAAAAATATGAWATGTTTAGATAAGACATGTAAAACACAATTTAAAAATGTTATCTTTGATTTTGGTATATTCATATTTACTTGTATACAATAATACCGTTATATAAATTTGACTATTTTTTTCTTCTTAATACATAGCTAWCATAAACTACTCTGCTAAAATAAAATTTGGTACTCTATATTTTATGAAGATACGTATAATTACTCAAGTTAGTCTATTCACTTAATTTGAATAAATAAATAAATATAACTCATGTTGCTATTTAGGTATTAAGTGAAAATAAATCGTAGTAAATAATAGTGCTGAGTATCAAATCCAGATCAATCCATATCCAGATTACCGATCTGGATTGAAACAAAAGTTACAATCCATTTAATTCAGATTATTAAGCATTTTAAAAACAATTATTATTTTTTTATTTAACTATAATTCTTTAATTACTCGATAAATATATATTTTACTAAAGAGTGAAAAACTAGTTTATTATCTCAAAAACAATGAATTTGAAATCCAAATCTTTGGATTTCCAAAATTCCAGATCAACAGATTGAATCCAGATAATATGGATTGATCCGAAATCCAGATTAGTTGAAATAATGCTCATCACTAGTTTATAAATAAACTGAACTAGCCAAGAAGGTTGGTGGGGCTGTAGGTTTCAGCCTTCATCATAGCTAAAGGAAAAGTTTAAAACGCTTTCAGTATTCTGTGATAAATGTATTAGATAAGAAATGACTATGTATTAAATAAAAATTTGTATATAGTTGCTGCAAAAGTCTATAATGTTATATACCTACAATATCAGTATAGAAAATTATGAAAGATCTTAGTTAAGCTTCCTCTATGTAACAAATTATCAGCCTCCTTCCCTTAGAGGCTGCAAAAGCAACTTTCAAATTCTATAAATTAAGCTAATAAATAATAATCAAATAGTTTGGTTGTAGCTGGAAATTGTAAACTTGAGATATACATAATTAATAAATCTGTTAATTGGTACTAATATTTAAAATTGAAAATAAAATAATTATAATATTTTAAATCATGTTTGTAGGAATTCTTCATAAAGCCAAACTTATTGATGAAATTAGCAACGTATAAGACAGCATCTTAATATATATATATATTTTTTTTTAATAAGTAAGTAATCTAGTTATTTTTTAAATATATTTCATTCATACTTTTTGTTAATTTATATTTTATGTTGAAATATATAATTTTTTCAGGCTTCAAGCCAGTCAAAAAACATTTCGTATATGTTCTAATAAACATAGTAATAGAATGTATTAAAATTATTCTACTCATAATTATAAACTTGTGATAAGTATTAATTTTCAAACTGCTTTAATATATTAAAAATTATTGAAAAATTTTATTTTTATTTGTGATATTTAAATGTATGTAAAAGTACTTATTAACTTTTATGAGTTAAATATTAAATACCATACATCCCATCCATATTATGTCAATATTGATATGTTGAATTTTGCTCAATCTTAAACTCAATTAAATTGATTATTTCAGAAACTTGTTAAGTAAAATTTGATATTTTAGATTTGTAAATGTGTCACACTATAAAAAATGATATAAAATCTTCTATTTCAGTAATTTTATTGTAGTATCATCAAAATGTAATACTTAGTTATTATATTATTTTAAATTCAAAAAAATAATACCTGCAAAAATKTAATTTAGTTATAGGTTCAAATTTGATATAAATAATAACTGTGCTTTTTAATGTTCACTAAAATTAAACATTTCAACAAACATTTTTTTTTAAATTAATATTTATATTATACATTTTACTTGTAGAATAATGATTTACTAGGAGAGAAACTAAAAATTTTAAAACAATGTTTGTATTTAATAATTAAATATAATAAATTATATAATAGTCAATTAATTTATAGTAACTAATAAGGTGTATATGACTMTAATAATAAAGTTAAAAATATTGTTTTAGTATTCAAACTTCTATAATATTTTATTATATTGCATATTATKTTAAATATTGATTAATTAAAACCATTTTAATTTTACACCTGAACTTAAATAGTTACTAGTTAGTAGGTATTGTTTAAATATGTAAAATATAATAGTGCTTAATGTTAGGTAATCACCTATTGACAATAAAACATATTTTTATTTTTGTATTATACTTACAAAGTCGTCAACCACCAACCATATAAAAATACAGCTATATTAAATACTAAAATAAATAATACTTGTGATGCACTATTGTTGAAGGAGAAAATAAAAAAATKTATTTTAGCTACAAAAACCAATTTACAACTCCTAACAAATTTCTACTTTATTGTGTAATTAAACATTATTATATCAATAAATTATAATCTGTAGTGTGTTTAGTGTGTATACTTTCYTTTTTGATCAGATCAACAGAAGATCTATAAAAAAAAAGTACATTTTTTTTACGAATAACTAACTAGCAACCAGACATAAAGTATTACACACACCACTGATCACAATATTACTCAAGTATACCTTAAATAAGAATGGCAGAGAATGGCATTTTTAAATACTTATTTAAATATCTATATACTGCTATTAATAATTATTGGCAAAAATAATAAAAATTACTTGAATTCATCAACTTAATTTTCGTGTAAGTACTATTCATTACATRTGTACCTACTTTTTTAAGCAATCATATATTTGTCTACTTATAAAATGTATTTTTTTTTCTATGGAAAATAGATTGGAATGTGGAATGGACACAAAAAATATTAAATAAATAATTATTTCGGAAGTGAAAATTTACTATCAGATAAAATATAAAAATATATGGTAAATCAGAATGGCATTGTTCTGCACAATAACATAGCTAAACCTCTGATACTTTCAAAAAACATATAATTGTTTGTATATTATTATTACTTTTTGCATCACTCTAGAAATTACATACATATCTACAGGCCATATGTCATAAATAGATAAATATTGGAAGCAAGTATCAATTTTTTAGAATTTACTGTATATATTCAAATTTCAAATTGTATATATATWTTTTTATTGAGGACAATTCACTACAATAAATTGAATATCAAAGTTAAATTAATAATGTACAATGTTGAGTAATAGCAACCTCTATTTTATATGCAGTACCTATTACCTATCTACAAAACCAAAAATTCTCTTGTACAAAATACAAATTTATAATGTGTTTGTATCAAAGGTCATTACATAATAAGTAATTACATACAAAACAAAAGCAACTGATTCATATTTCAAATTCAAAAACCTATACGATTTCATGAACTCACAAATCACATTAGGTACTCAAGCATACCTTTATTGGTACATCATTCATTATTAAAGTATTTTATGAAATTCCTTGTATTTACATTTTGTGCATTAGAATGCATTTTGTATTTAGTATTTACAAATCAATAGCAAATATACTTGAATGCTTTTAAAATGCAGATGGATAAATGTATTTATTCGAAAAGTAAATTCAACAGTTAAGAAGCCGAAGTTAAAAAGGTATAGCTTTTGACAATGAATGTTACAAGAATAGAATTTGTACTAAAACATTTTGAAATTTTCTAAAATTAATTAATTGCATAGTATATTAGGGTAAAATAAATAATATGTCATTAAGAGGATGTGATGTATGGACCCGCATGTATCATTGAAATATGATAAAAAGCCTACGAGGTTGTCTAGATAATAATCTTACCTTTAAATTTTATTAGAGGTCAATTCACTCTAAATTTGATACTAACAGAACTACACGTGTTCTGCTGAACTTAAAATTTGCTGTTACACACTTGTAAAATGTACACAACACATGTGGGTATCACATCCTCTTAATATAGTTACTAGAGTGAATACCTGAACGAAGAGTTATCAATTATCACAATAACATAAATAATGTAGTTATATAATTCTCAAATTAAGATAATATAAAAATAAATAAAAAGCACAGCTGTAATAAACCTATAACCAATTATTTAGAATAGGTACCTACATATAAGGTGCATTTTAGAATTTTAAATGTATTATATATTTTTTGAACAAAAGTAAATCAAGATTTAACTTTAGAACATAATATGACCTGCTTTCATTTATTTTTGGGTATATCAATAAATATTATAAATTTTAATACCATACTTTAAATATTACATGCAATAATATTATATGAGTGTTGTTTAGTAATAATTATATTATGCATAACACAATTACAGCTAAAAAATGTATCCATGTTTATTAATTTTTGATAAATCTATTAAAAAATATATATTCCAATTAATGCAGTAAATAAATAAAATCAAGATATTTTCCAAAMAATTGATTATGTATACATGTTTGCAGTTTGAATAAGTACATTTCACTGTATTTTGATTTAAGAACTATAATAAACAAATGATTAAACTAGTAAAAATGAAATAAATAATATCAAATTTAATTTAATTTTTTTAAAGCAGCATTTAGTGTTATGTAAATAAAAAATATCCAGATGAATTTCAGTTCGATTTTCACCGATAAAAAAATTGATCTGAGATTTTTTTATCAAAATGGTTTTTTTTTATTGCTAACTTTTAAAAATGATTAGTTTGACATATTATAAATCTCATATTTTTTAAATAATTTGCCTAATTATTATTGTTACATTTATTAAAACTCATCTAAAAATATTTTATAAAAATAAAAAATTTGAAACAAGCATAATAGAACTATAATCTAGGCTATATATTCTACATTTGCCCAGTTGAAAAAACTCATTAAATACAATATCTAGACATACATAAATTCTAAAAAATAAATACATTATATTTAGATAGTGGAGGTAGATTTGTTTTTAATACAAATGCTTAAAAGTTAATTTAGAAAATTAGAAATGAATTAGTCAACTGCAGAATAATGTTTAAGACTGTTCATTACATATATATTGTACCTAGTATTATACTAGAAAAGAGAAATATTTTTTTCAGATGCAAATATGCAATAAAATAATTAAAACTTAAAATTAACAAACACCATTGAAATAAAAAAAAACTTTCTAAAATGAATCTGGTAAGGCACATTGTTGATCTACAATTCTAGTAATAAATAACATTTTAACTAAAAATATGAGCACAAGACGTATAGAAATAACCAGGTAGTAAATTTTAAAATGGCTTTTTATACTTGATGGAAAAAATTTATACTAACAAATAGATGTAACAACTTATTACTGTCCAATCACTTTTTCATTTTTTGTTTTTCCTTTTTTTTTTTTTTTAGAAAATGTTTACACATTTTCTACTACAACTTATACTAACAAATAAAACACCTATATAAATATACATAGTAATTGATTGATATATCTACTCTACTTAATTCGTATTAGAGGACACAAGGTCACACACTTAAAAATTCTATGATTACAAACATTAAAATTTGTTTTAAATTATAATAAAATATAATATAAAGTTTAGAACACTGTCTTATTTGGAATGATGAGATTTATTGAAGATCCGATTTTGTAATCGGTGCTAATCATCTCTTTTGTATTAAATATCACAATTAACGTTCGTAAAAATAATTTGATTTTGCCCCTATATGTKGGGGACCTAAGTACACCATTTTTATTTTCTTCAATATTTTCATCTCAACTTTTCTATCCGTCTCCTCTTTCTGGATCAGTTTTATTGTTTACAATAAGCTGATTATTTTCAGGTGAAACACGAACAGAGCCTGAATTGTTTTTGCGATTGGGATTGTTCCAGACTTGTTCTTTTGCTGTACCACCAAACTGGTACATTACATATGTTCCACACGCCACACAAGCAGTCACAGCAAATATTCTACGCCATCTCTCCAAAGTTGGCTAAATAAATAATGGTTAATAAACAATAATATTCATCAAAATACTAATTAAAAAAACTATAATAAAATGTCTTACATTGTCTTGGAGCATAATAGCTGCAGCAAGAGGAGACAAAAAACTTGCAGACATATGTATAGTTTGTGCAAATGCTAATATATGTCCGGCAAAGTTTGGCGCAATGTCGACTACATTTGCCATTGCTCCAGCATATGAAGCAGTTATCAGTGTAACTGCTACAAACCAAATCACCAAAATCAATGTGATCTGACAACCTAAATAACCTATGGTCAGAACTAAAAGGCCAGGAATGACTTGAGCTAAAAAAAAGTTAAAATAATTACATAATATTATTATTTAACTATATAGTAAGTTATTAAACAAAAATAACACAAATTACTCACATATAGCTGTAAACATTTTACGGACATTAGTCAAGCTCATAAGATTACGAGCAATAATGAAGTCAGCTGCATAACAGAACACAACAGAAGAAAGGTAACT